GCTAGGAATAACTTGGCTATTCACTACTTCCACCACGTCAGGCAAATCACTTTACCCTTCAAAGCTTCGGTTGCTCATCTGTATAAGGCAAGGATTGGACTAGATGGTCTCTAAGGGTCTCTCCTAGCTCCAAATCCATGCTTCTGTGACATGTTCATGCCTGGAACACACACCCTCTTCAGCTCTGCCTCTTAAGTAGCTTGGATTCTTTCAAAGCTCAACCCAGACACTGCAGAATCATAGATTTGGAACTGGAGCAGACCTTGGAGGTCATCAGGTTCAATCCCCTCATTTTATAGATGAGGAAATAGATCCAGAGAGGTTAAATGACTTGCCTAGGGTCACACAGCTAGAAAGAAAGAAAGAAAGAAAGAAAGGAAGGAAGGAAGGAAGGAAGGAAGGAAGGAAGGAAGGAAGGAAATTTGTGCATTTATTAACTACTTACTGTGTTCCAAGTTCTGTCCTAAGTCCTGCTGATGAAAATACAAGCAAAAGAAAATCAGTTTCTAACCTCAAGGAACTTTCATTCTAATGAGGCAAAGAAAAATATAAAGGAGAGCTAGAAGGAAGTGTGGAGAAGTGGGGTGGAAGGTTGGGGAAGCTGCTGGCAAGGAGGTGGAGGAGAAGTCTGGTGAATGAAGAGGAGGGCCGGAAGTAGAATGAGCATGGTGTGCAGGGCACGTCATAGAATGGTGGTCTGAGCCAGGGACTTACCAATCAGAGGAGATACAGAAAGGAAGAGGAATCTATAGGATGAGATGGTTGATATGGAAGAGGTGAAAAAGTCCAGAGAGTATGGAGTAAGTTAGTAAGGACCTGAGGTAAGATTTGAACCCAAATCTTCCTGACTCCAGGTCCTAAATCTTACCCACTGGATCATGCTACCACTTCTTAGTTATCCTCCTTCATAATCCCCCTAGTTGTTACTGTGCTAGTGTTCTTTCTGTCTCCGTCTCTCTCTGTTTCTCTCTCCCCCCATCCCTGTCTCTTTCCTTTCTCTCTCTCTTTGTCTCTCTCTTTTCTCTCTCTCCTTCCCTCTTCTCTCTGCTTCTGTCTGTCTGTCTGTCTCCTCTTTCTTTGTCTATCTCTGTGTGTGTGTCTCTCCTGTCTCTGTCACACACACTCTTTTCCTCTCTCTTCTCTCCATCTCTCCTGTCTCTCTCTGTCAGTCTCTCTTTCTCCTTTCTCTTTTTTCTCTATCTCTCCTCTCTCTGTATTTTTGCCTCTGTCTCCATCTCTGTTTTATAGACTTCCTGAATATTTCAGAACTGGGAGAAACCTTCTGGATCAGCTAGTATGATGGTGTCATTATATAATTGAGAATACTGAGACTCAGGCAGAGGAAACGATTCATCAAAGTCCAGGGCTCCAAAGAACCAGACTCCAACCTCGATTAGTAAATTCCAAGACCAATGCTCTTCCTGTTGAACTCTACTGCTTCTTCTCTCTTCTCGCCAGCCTTGATCTCTAAGGCACCACCTCCTTGACTCTGCCAAGGCAGCTCCTGCCTTCCCCAGCCATTGTAACATTCCTGACTCTCTTCAAGTTTCAGTGGTTTTGTGCTGCCCTCTGCTGTTGGCTTTTTGACATAAAGAGAGCCGGGATATTCACGACTTTTCCCCAACTGCCTCCCAGCAACCAGCCCCTTCCCCAATACTTTATCCCCCTTCTTGTCACAATACCAGTAACTTTCTCCTACACACAAATGGATAGCATGACAACTTACTGTCCAAATGCTTCCTGGGATAGAATAATTTCTAATGACTGATCCTACAGGGGCTGTCTTGGATCTTAGCGGCGTTTGAACAGACCAGCTCCCTCCAGGTTCACCCAGGCCCTTAAAAAATGAGCTCCTATCCAATTTGTTTTTCTTGCTTTCTAAACTGGGGTTGGGGTGGGGGGAGGGAAGAAGAGGTGGAAGGAAAAGAATAAAGATTTGGAAATAAAATTTAAATTTATGACAGAGAAAAGAAAAAAAAAAAGAAATTAGTCCTTACCCCAGTAACCTTTTCTGGATCCTGTCCACTGGACCCCATCTAGCAGTAATGATGAGAACTGAAGATGTAGGGTGTGCTGCCTGAATGGACCCCAAGAGACAATTACAGTCCTTTAGCTTTACAAAGAAAATACACTGTGGCTGGGCTTCTATGGACTGAGGGAGAAGAATTATCCCTATCTAGGTTACTTGGGGGGTGCACTTGTCTTCAAGATGATTGTTAAATTTTCAATGTGAGAATTTATAACTTGCAAATTGGCAAATACTATATTCTGAGGCTTATTTTATTGTTTTGTTGATTGTCTAGACTTCAGAAAGTGATGTAGAGTATATCAGTAATGCAATTAAACAAAAAAGTGTGTTGTGCATACATTTTCCCCCCAGAGAGATGGTTGTTAAACACTTACCAGTACATCCCTTGTTATGGCACAGTATGTTTGGAATTTTTCAGAGTCACCATGGACATCATGAAAAGATGGGATCTGTGTCAATAAAGGGACTTCTCAATCCATTGAATCACAGAATATCAAAGTTGGAAGAGATCTCAAAAACCATGTAGTCCAACCCCTAAAATCTCACTATAATATACCCCACAAGTAGTCATCTTGCCTCTGCTTAAAGCCGTCCAGGAAACAGGAACCAGGGATGCACTTATAAATGTTTAACAACCCACTCTCTGAAAAAAAAAATATGCGCAACACAAGTTTAATTTGCATTCTTAACATTTCATCACTTACTTAAGTCTAAGGAATTAACAAAACAATAAATCAAGTCTGGATTTGTAGGGTTTGCTGATTTTGTAGGTATAAATACTCACAGTGAAAATTTAACAATTGGCTCTCAACTCACGAACACCCAGGAATGTTATGGATGGGATGGGGCTCTGTAAAGCATTGGACGTTGTTTGGAAGCATAAGTCCTAGAATCATGGGTTCTGAGTCAGAAGGTACTTCAGAAATGCTCTAGTCTAAGTCATGGGGGCCACCTCCAGTCATCCTGACCTGTATCTTACCACCGGACCCAGATGGCTCTGGAGAAGAAAGTGAGGCTGGTGACTTTGCACAGCATCGTCTCGCTTCAATCTAATTCACTTGCAAGTCATGGCGTCATCTTCCTGATGTCATGGTCCTCTTTGAGAATGAAGGGCAAACAACAACAGTCCAAGCCATACCTGATTAGGAAACCCTTCCTCATCCCTGACAAATGGTTGAAGAACTGTTTGAAGAACTTTAGTGATGGGCAACTCATTACTTACAGAGGAAACCCACCCAACTTTTGAATGACCATTAAAGGTGGGAGTTGGGCATGGCCAGTCTATGGGCACAGACTAGGAATAGAATCTGGTCTTCTATGGCAGGAGGAAATTCTACCCACCCACCCTCACCATTTGGGTTCTAGCTGGTCTGCTGGAATGGGAGTCCTGAACTGCCAGAGACCAGCTTCAAGGTGGGTCCTGAGGCCAGGGCTGCTGAAAGGAAAAGAGTGGGAAGCCCTGAAGAATAGTTTGGGTTTTTTAATTGATACTTGCTTTTGACACAGCAGGCCCATCCCAATGCACAAACTCCCACAAAGGAAGACTGTTAAACCCAAAGAACTAAAAAAGTTTTGCTTTCTGTTTTTGTCCTTATTTACCCTTTTGGTAGTTTAAAAAAAAACAGAAAAGAAAACTGGGTGCTTTAACTTGAAGAATGCAGCACTAATTTGCTCCTTGTATTTGAAATGAGTTTTGTTGTTCTTGACTTTTGGGAAAACTAGAGTTATCCTTTCTACATCATGGGGCTTAGGGGTGCAGTGCCTCTGTGATCTGGAAAATCTGCATAAAATTTTTGTCCCTCCCTTCAGACCAGAGAAGAAGTCTGAATTTTTTCTTTTTCTTTTATGGGGTGTTTATAGTACCTTATTGTAAAATTTCGGTTGATGTTTTATAATAATATACATATATTTTATGCATTTCTGAGTTTCTAAATTTTTTCTGTGTTTTCTGCTGGCTGTTGCATGTTGTCTGTGGCTTCTGCAAAACTCCCCCCAAAAATTTCCATTTAATTTCTCACACTGACACGAGATATGTCAAAACCCACGATGGAGAAAGTTGTGATGGGAACAGGATTATTGTAGGTGGTCCCTTTCACAGTTTTCTTCAGGTATCTGTTCCTTAAGACATATGTGCAGGAGTATTTTGAGGAGTGTGTGGTGCTGCTGCTGGTAGGGGTTAGGGGTTGGGGGTTGGAGGAGGGCACTGTCAAAATCTGTCAAAGTCTATGAAAGGTATCTTGTCCACGATATTATAATCTCAGCAGAATTCAGGAAAACCTAACTCTGAACTCATTCCTTCAACCCCTAGACTTTGCTGTTGTTGTTTGTCCTTCCTTCTAGAAGAGGACCATGACATCAGGAAGGTGATGGCATGACTTGCAAATTAATTGGATGTAAGCGAGGGAGGGCTGTGCAAAGTCACCAGCCTCATTTTCTCCTCTGGAGCCATCTAGGTCCAATGGCAAGACATAGATCAGGACGACTGGAGATGGCCCCAGATGCATCAAAGACCTTGGCCTTTTTTTCCCCCTAGACTTTAGAGAGCCTTTGAAAGAAGTGCTTTCTGCCTCCAGGAACCTGGCCACCCAAGTCGTGGGACTATAGCCACTAGAGCTGGAATGGATCTTAGAGATTGCCTGGTCTGATAGGCCACTCTTGTCCTATTCCCCTCCTCCTCCCCCAATACACACACACACACACACACACACACACACACACACACACACACATCTTGACAGATGAGGAAATTAAGGGCCAGAGAGAACTGATTGCCAGAGGTCATGCAGTTAATTAGTAGTTAATTCTAAACCAGGTCCTCTGACTCCAAATGTAATACTTTTTCCACCATGTAGAATTATAGATTTTTTTTAATTGGAAGGGATCTTAGTGCTAATTTAGTCCAAACCCCTCATTGAAGCCCAGAAAGGTGAAGCTGACATTTACATAGCATTTTATTATTTACAAAATATTTTAAATACATGATCTCATTTTCCCTTCACAAACAACTCTGTAAGATTGACGCATGCCTTCTGGATCTAAAACTCCATGATTCTACCTGTTTTTACAAATGAAGAAACTGAGACTTAGCGAGTCTGTGAGTCAGTGCTTTTTGTTATTATATGCTGTTGTATTTCTAGTTCTCACAAGGATTGCAGGAAGAATGCCAACTGTAAAGTTCCCCAGGTCTTGTACCTTGAAAACATAGATGGGGCAGAACAAGAGCAAACGAACTGAAGGTAAATTGGGTAAGGCTCCCAAGTTGAACAGAAGAGTTGACTAGCTGTATGTCATTGGGTAAGTCACATCCTCTCTAAACCTCACTTTTCGTATCTGTAAAATGGACATTTTACCACATATTTCACAAAATTATCATGAGGATCAAATGAGATGATATATGTAAAGCACTTCACAAACCTCTAAGCCCTGTGTAGTTGTCAGTTTTTATTGTTGTGTTGTTATTGCTATCTATAGAAAGCACTATTATGTATTATTAGTAGTAGTACTTAACAGAAATCTCTTTGGAGAGTGTACGGCACTGTACAGATTTAAGCCACTATTATTATGAGGCTGAATGCAGAACGAACCAGACCCTCCTCCCCTTGAAAATGTCTCTAATCTTTTATCTCTCTCCATTGGCAGGGCCTGCATTGCACTGGGTCACTCCAGCTGTGAAAGGTCACTCAATGGCAGCTAAGATTTGGGGTTCTCACGGCTTCTCTGCCTAGTCCCACATCCCCCTCCAGCCTATTTCTGCCTCCTCTTTCTGTCTTCTTTTCTCCTCCCTGCAAACACGCTTACCTCATCTCCCTTGACCCAAATGAGCAGAGGGCACAACCAATGGGAAACTCTTGACATTTTGTCACTCAGACTCAATGACCCCTTATCCCTTATCCCTTGTTCCCTCCTCTCCATGAACCAGACACCAAGATGGGGGTGGTCAGTCATTAGCTGAGTAAATCAGACAGCAGAGCTGGGCTCTCAGAGAAAAGGTAGTGGCTGTCTTGGTCTCTGCTGCTGGTCCTCTTTGTACAAGCTCCTTCCCTCGCTTCACGACCCATTTCTGCCTCCCTGATGAAAAGGCCACAAAGGAATTGGGGTTGGGATTTTGTTGCAGAAACAAGTTGGTTTTTGTTTTTGTTTTCTGGAGAAGAAAAAATTCTTTAGCTGCATTTGGAATCAAAGAACCTGGGTCCAAATCCTGCTTTATACCTACATGAACCAGAGCAAATTGCCTCATTTCTGTAGGTTTCAGTTTCCTCCTTGATTAAAATGAAGGGTTCTGGGGCAGCTAGGTGGCACAGTGGATAAAGCATTGGCCCTGGAGTCAGGAGGACCTGAATTCAAATCTAGCCTCAGACCAGACCCTTGACACTTACTAGCTGTGTGACCTTGGGCATATCACTTAACCACGATTGCCTAAAAAAAAAAAATGAAGGGGGTCTAACTATATTGCCTATTGCAACTGGAATCCCTAAGACTTGATGAACTGTTTTTCAGCAATAGCCTTTACAAAGAAAAAGGCAGATTGTTTGGAGTGCAAAATTTTATGATCCTCTGAATGTGGATGAACTTGGTTTGGAGGCTCCAAGGTCAGATGTATTTCAATCCTCTCAACTCAGTTTCTCCTCTTTAGGAGCTGAATAACTCAAAATTGTATAAACTTTGCAGTTAACAAAGTGTTTTACCTTCATTATCTAGTCTGATCTTAATAACTCTGCTGGGGAAAGTATGTGATTATCATTATCCCTATTCTGCATATGAGAAAACCAAGGAGAAATTCAAGCAGAGCAGAGCAGGAGCAGAAGGAAGAAAGGGAAGTTAATAAGATGAGAAAAAAAAATTGGGTGCAGCTGTCAAGGCCTAACCAGGTGAGAAACTGCAAATGAAGTGAGAGAAGTACTGAGAGAGATTTGGCTACATTTAGAGTTACTAGTAAGAGTGGTGAAAGACTGAGGATTATGCTTCCAGGATTTATAGAAAGCAGAGAGGATTTTGCAATAGGTTGCTAGAGCATATGATTTTCTTTCTACTATACCTAAGTAATTTTACTCTATGTTCAAAGTGCAGGTTGGTCTTCTTAGAAGAAACAAGAAAGGGACTCACAAATGTGTCTTGGTTTCCAGCCTAAGAGAAAAGAAATGGAGGAAGGTTTATCATGTGAGAACAAAGAAGTGGAAATGTCTGCTGAGGCAAAGGGGAATCCTGTCCTGTGTCAGGAAGTTGGTGGTCAGAAGAATCTGACACAGAGGAGGAAGGAGAGAAGAGGGGCCCTTGAATAAATGGAACTAAGAAATATGTAGCACCCAGGGTCCTCTTCACATGTGGGTCCCCAGGTTTAAGGCACTTTGGGGGTCAGTAGCCACTCAAAATCATAGCTAAATGAGCTTTTGACAAAATGTTTAATTTTCTAGGCTAGCTAAAGGTTGCATTAATTCAATGATAACATCAAGCATTTATTAAGCGCCTAGTATATGCAAAGTAAATGACAAGAAAGGCCCTTTGCATACACCGTATTGTCATTCGCCACTTTACTTTCCATTGTGCCAAAGGGACACGCAGAGTGAACTCTCATGACCAGAAGATACACACACACAGAGAGCCTACATGTAGAGGACAGTCATAGGGAACATGGGTCTAACACTGCAGAGACACTGATGTCCTCTGGTGACATCATTTTTCTGCTTTCTTCTGACCATTTTTTTCTGAATTGCTGTCCCTCTTCTCTGACTGGTGGTGGTGATTCTGCTTTGCTGAGCTACTGTTTTCCGCTGTCATCTATAAATCTTTAATTACAATGTAGTTTCTTTGTTGAGCTCCTACTGATCTCTGCTTTGACAAACCAATCTTCAGTTGTGGTATAGCTTCTTCTCCATAAGGAGAAGTTTCTTCCAGCTCTTTAGTTTGGGCTGTTTTTAGTTCTCTTGTGATGCAAACCCCAGGTGACGGCTCATAGCCAGCTTGTTGTTGTTGTTCAGTCATGTCCAACTCTACATGACCCCTACGTGTGCTTTTTCCCCATGGAGTTTTCTTGGCAAAGATGCTAGAGTAGTTTGCCACTTTCTTCTTTGGTGTGTCCTCATTTTTACAGATGAAGAACTGCGGCAAATAGGGGTTAAGTGATTTGCCCAGGGTCACATAGCTAGTAAGTGCCTGAAGGTGGGTTTGAACTCAGATCTTCCTAGCTCCAAGCCTGGTGATCTAATTGCTGCACCACCTAGCTACTCCATAGCCAGCTAACTAGGCTTAAATTTGTCCCTTGAAGACCTCTTTCTCTTACTATTCTTGTCTGAGTTGCAATTCCAAATTCCCTTTACCTCTTACAATTACAATTTCCCAGTCAAATCATCCCAGGAACTCCATTTAATTAAATTTCAAAGGAACTAGGTAGAGCTGGGATGAAGAAATTCTATCTAACATCCCCCAGCCTTAGTCCCCAAGTGCCCCAAATTGCCGTGCATAGCAGCTTGGGAGCTAGACCAAAATGGGCCAAGTGAAATCATTAGAGCTGGCAAACTTTTGCTCTTTTCCCCACTAGCAACAAAAACCATTGTGCTTCCTACAATGCCTTTTCCCAAAGAGGGGATTGTTGGGCCCTCTGAGGAAGAAGCAACTGCTTGTCCTCCAAAGAAGGATTGATATGGATCCATGTGGGTGTCTTCAGGTAGTCCAGTCAGAGGAAAAGAAAGTATAATGGTGATTGATAACTCTGTTGAGAAGTTCTGAGGAAGCCTTTTATCTACCTTATAACAACATTAGAGAGGTCTGTAGCCTTGCCCGTGCTGGGAATGCATTGCTTCTCACTGCTGCCTCTTAGAATCCTTTCATTCCTTCCAAGCCAAGCTTAGGAGCTGCCTCCTCTTTGATGCCTTCTCCAACTCCCCTATTAGTTCTCATTCTCTGAATTTATCTAGTCTTACTTTAACCCATTTGTAATTTATATCCTTACTAGTAAAATACAAGCTCTTTAAAGGCAATGATGATTTTGGTTTTGCCTTTCTCCATCTCCCCCAGTGCCTAGCAGAGTACCTTCCTGTGGGTCATTGTACAGCTGTTCCCCCATTGAAGGCCATCTGAGCTGCAAAGATTGGGGAGATCACGGGTTCATAAATGTAGAGCTAGAATGGACCTCAGACACCATATACTCCAGCCCCCCCCATTTTACAAATGAGGAGACTTACAAATGAGGCCCAAGGACTTGCAGGGACTCAACCAAGGGAATGCAGATACATTCTTCTTTCCCATTCCCCACTGATACAGAACAAGAAATGGAGGACCTAGAAACTGTCAGTCCCTGTATTAAAGTAAAATTCATTGAAACTCTCAGTGTCTGTAAATGGGAAATGGTTGGAAGACACAGCAGGAGAAGACTACCCCTATAGCTGCCATTTGGAAAGCTGAGCGGGCCAGCCTAAGCAAGATAGACAGTTGATGTGACATTACTGTGGATAACTAGGCCATCAGAGCAGTGGGGAAGTCATGCAGTCATTGGAGACAAAATGGCTTTTTGTTTGAACGAGATCTTGGCGATGCTTGGAGAGCAGAGACTGAGTCACTGGCCATCTTCAGTGTTCAATAGCAGCAGTGGTCCCAGCTGATGCAATGCAGAATAATGGATGGAGTATTCCATCTGTGCTCCAAGCACAACAAGGTGCCATTCGGGGCAAGAACTACTCTCCCACCTTCCTTTATAAGACCAGTTTTTCAGTTCTTGGCTTAGGCAGTGTCGTCAAATGTTGTATTTTCTGAAGTAGGAAAAAAACAGGTTTCCCAGAAGGATGAAGGACTGGTTTCCTTAGAGGCAATGATCAAGAGGGGTAAAACATCAGAAATAGAGGGTTGGTTCTTTAAAAAATGCTTTGTCTCTTTCCTCCCTGTAAATCAGTTGGCCACAACTTCTTGGTCCCATAATAATAACAGGATTAGGCATCCCTTAGCGTCTTACTTGTACTGTTAGGGTTAGTAAGTCAGGAGGACTTGGAGAATGAAGCCTACTCCCAGCAAGATGAGAAGTGTTGGAGAAAGTAAGTCAGGGTTAACAGCTGCTTCAGAAACCAGCAGACTATGGCAAGAGGTCAAACTCTATGAAATGACTCATGGAATATCATGGTTCCAACTGTTGATAGTTCCAGGCAGGTTGTGTGGGACATGAAACCAATTCATTCTCATTCTCTCCCAACCGCTAGGTCAGACTAATCGAGATGACCTTTGGACAGCTGCCCAGGCACTTTCTGGGTGGCTGGCACCTTCCAGGGAAAGTAGCTTTACAAGCCTCTCTGACTAGCCACTAGCCTCAATCCCAGGACCATAGGATCACAGATATATAGCTGCAGGTTGTCTAGTTTAACATTCTCAGTGTACTGCTAAGGAAATTGAGGTCCAGAAAGATTAAATGATTTGCCCAAGGTTACTCAGCTTGTTAGTGGCAGAGTCAGGATTCAAATGTAGGTCCTTTGATGTCAAATTCAGCTCTTTCTGTGGCATCCCTGGAAGCCTCTCCAGCATGACAAACTGACCTAGTGTGATGGCGGAGGTTGTTTGGTCTTATTTATCCCTCTTCCTTTGCATAATTCTTACACTTTCCTTCTCTTATAAAGTTCTTCAATGTTATAAACTCTCTCTCTCAACAAAATATCCTCATATCCCATATTTCCATTTCCCAGTATAAGCCAGAGAGTGGCTTATTTTTACTGGAAATAATAGGAGAAAGAACTTGATCTTAAGGAATTAGTAGAACCTGGGATGGGTAGAGGGACCTGAGAGAAATCACCTTATCGTCTCTGGGCCAAGCCCTAAAATCCCTGCCCAATGAGGAGAACATTACCATTTTGCAGCTACACCAAGGAAGGTGCAATCTGCATTGTCAGATTCTTGGGGACTTGGATGAAATGGCTCCTGTGAGACATAGAAACACATGGTGAATACTGATAATGAGTGAGATAGTCATGGAGGGTGGGAGGAAGGTGTGATGGTCCTGGGCAGTTAGAGTGGGAAGAGCATAAGGATTTTAGGGAAATCAGCAGCCAGCAACACACAGAGAGCTCTGAGTGTTTCATGGGGTGATAACTCCTTCTACATACACTCATGACATCACTGGAACAAATATGAACAGGAAAGGTGATGGGTAAGTTATGTAGAATGAGTGAGGATAACAGATGGATAGCCTGAGGACTGCACTGGTATCCACAAAATATTAAAAGAATAAAAGGAAAGCTCCCAGCATGGGCATAGATCCTCTAATTAGGCTCTATAGTAAGACATGGCAAGCAATTACACAGAACAAAGTGCTAGGGTTGGGAAGAAAGGATAAAAGGATGCCCACATGGATGAGAACACATTCTGAAGTTGAACCTTTCATGGCCCACACTCACGCTGATTGTGTAGGCTCTTTCAAGGGAAACACCAGAGAGTAAGATGATTTAAAGCTGGAGTTCATAACCTATTTTGTGTCACGCATCCCTGGTGAAGCCTAGGGACCTCCTATTAAGGTTTTTAAATGCATAAAATAGATCATGTAGGATTTAGAAAAATTGTGTTAAAATACAGTCAACAAAATTAAAAAAAAAAAAGCTCAATGACTCCAGGTTAAAAGACCCCTCCCTGTAAAGGATACCAAAGATGCCTTCCTCACCCACCCCCATATGCTCTTTCCTCCAGTACCACTGGTCTTCTTGCTGTTCTTTGCAGACGACACTCCATCACTGGACTTTGGATATTTTCACTGGCCGACCCCCATGGCTGGGATGCTCACTCTCCTCACCTCCACCTCCTGGCTTGCTTCTAGTCTCAACTAAAGTCTCACTTTCAACAAGAAACCTTTCCTGATAGTCCTTAATTCTAGTGCCTTCTCTCTGTTATTTATCTACTACTTATTTTAATGGTACACAGTTGTTTGCATTTGGTCTCACACATTAGACTGAGCTCCTTGAGAGGAGAGACTGTCTTTTTCCTTTCTTTGTATCCCCACAGCTTAGTACAGCACCTAGCCAAAGGATTTTGGGCAGCCTGAGAAAAATACAGAGGAAAACATCCTTTGTATGTAGAGGAAATTCTTTGGCACACCACAGATTGTGCAGGCCTGCTCTATACTTTATTTTCCTCTCCTAGTTTTGCTTTCCTCATTTATA